CCGCAGGCCGCACCTCCGGTGAAGCTGTACCAGTCGGCCCCGTTGATGATGCTGCCCCTCTTCAGGAAGTTGCCCCCACACCTGTTCTCTGACTTGTCCATCATCATGGGGTGGACATCGGCATAGGCTCTGGCCAGCAACTTAAACATCTGGAAAGGAGACCAGAAAAGAGGTTCCCCGAGGCCAAGAGCAGAGGTGGGGGGCTCTGCAGGACGCCCTCTGAGCTAGGGACAGCGGAGGGGCCTCCACAGCGGACACCTGCACACAGGTAAGACAGGGGAACAGTGTCCACGCAGGGGGCACAGCATGTGCAAAGGCCCGGAGGTGGGGCGGCCAAGCTCAGGGCACCTGTGGTGGGTCCGCGGGTACATCTCAGAGCCCCTGCACACCTGGCAACAGGCCCGACCTGGGGCGTGGGCACAGGGCAAGGGCGCCCACAGGAGCTCAGGTGAGGCCAAGCATGATGGGCAAGGGTAAGTCAAATAAGGACACAGGCCAGGGGCCATGGAGACCAGCCTGCCCGGATCCTGCCACCTGTGACACTGGACAAACCGAGCTCATTTCCACTGGGGTGGGGGTGGGTCCCCAGGGTTTGGCGGGCAGCTCGGAGCTGGAGCCCAGCTCAGGAGCAGGATTTCGGGTGGAGCAGGCAGGTATAGGGGGACTTATGGGGAGGAGCAGGTGGCCATGGCCAGCCTGGGGGCCTTGAACACTGCCCTGAGGCACTGGCCTTCATCCACGGGCTGCCATGGAAGTTTGGGGGTGACATGGGACACCCTGGCCAACCCCTCATCAGCTCCCCTGCTCCCCAGAGCCTCTCCTGGGACCCTGGTTTCCACAGAGACCACCACGGGCTACAGGGCTGAGGATTATCGATTGCTGATTGATGGCTGGTGGGGAAGATGCTCAGCTTTCTGACCCTGCTGGGACTCATTGAGGTGAACGTGCCCCTTGGGGACACCTTCAGGTATCTACCTCTGAGATCCAGAGGTGCTGTGCCCAGAGCCCAGGGGCTCCCGCTGCCAGGGGAACAGGCCTCACTCGTGTTGGCCCTGTGCTCTGACAGCCCAAGGGAGCCAAGGCCTGGGCACCAGGGGAGACCACCCAGCCACCCCCGGGGGCACTTACTGAGCTCTGAGCACAGAACCTGGCACCCCTGCAGGCCCAGGCCTGTGCTGGCTGCGGGAGTCCATAAGCGAGTTAATGAGCGAGGGAAGGAGGGAAGGAGCCCCCAGCGAGCAGGTGATATGGGGAGTGAGTCGGGGAGCAAAAGAAGGCAGGCGGCCTCCCCGACCACCCTCCCGTCTCAGACTTTCACCCAAACAACAATGGGAAGGGACCCAGTCCCACCCCATCACAGACCAGCCTGCGTGAGCTCCAGCACCGGGCACCGGGACCCGGGAGGGCCATGGCTGGGGGCCTGGAGAGGGTCCCGTCATGCTCGCAGGCCTCACCCCTGCTGGGAGGACCAGGGAGGGAGGCCCGGGGAGGAGAAGGGCCTCCTCAGCGCCCAGGTGATGCGGGTGCCAGAATTCCCACCGGGGCCCACTGCACACCCCTCCCGGGGAGCTGATCCTGAAACCGGCCAGGCCCACAGGAAGGAGGGACGGCCTGAGCCCCGCGGGTGTCATGCGCGCTGCAGCACTGCCCTCTGCTGGCGGCTCCCGGAGCTGCCCTCCCGTCTGACAGGAAACACCAGGCAGCCTGGTGGGAGGGCAGGTGGGCACAGTGCCCACCCTAGAGGCCCCCAGACTGGGACACCGACGAAAGGTGGGGTGCAGCAGAGGAGGGAGTGGCTGCTTCCAGCTGGGCTGGAAGGCTTCCTGGAGGAGGGGGCTCTGGGGCTGGGCCTGGAAGTCTCCTAATGATTCAGTGACTCTCTGGGCTCAGAAAGGACGGACACTACGCCAGCCCAGAGGGCACTGCCCACACCGCAGCTCACCCTGCACCTATGGCATACCCACCCCGCCATGGTGCCCACTTCTCACCTTCTCGTCTGGTGTGGGAGAGAACATCTTCTCCTCGTGGGGGTGCTGGGAGAAGTCAAAGGGGTAGGACACCACCAGGTCGCCCCCGTGGAGGCTGGCCGAGAGCACGAAGGGGGCGGTCCGCATCCACTTCATGATGGCCTTCGTCTCGGGGGCCACCTGCCCAGGATGGAGGAGCTGTCTCAGGACAGGGAACCACCTCACTGACCGCCTGGCTCGGGCACCGCCGGGCTCTCGCACCTGCAGCTCCTCCTGCCTGTCAGTCTTCCTGCCTCTTCGGGATGTCACTTCCTCCAGGCAGCCTTCCTAGGCGCCTGTCCCTGAGCACTTGCCAGGCTCTAGGTGCTCTTAATACATGCTCCCCGAAAGCCACCAACGCCCAGCAAGGAGCTATGGCCAGAGGGTAAGGCACTAACCACCAGGCTCTCCTGTCCTGGGGAGGGGCCGCACCCGCAGGCCCTGGAATAACAGGCCCCCGGAAGGATGTGTGACTGGGCTGGGCGCGGGCGGGGCGGCTCCTACCTTACCCCCCCAGTAGTGCTGTGGAATGGCGATGTGGTCGGTGCGTGTGCCACGGGCGGCAACCAGGCGGTAGAACTCAGAGGTCAGGTCGGGGAAGTTTCGGTTCAGGTCCAGGTTCTGAGCGTTCTGCCTGCCGCTCGTCCACCCGTTGTAGCCGGCGCCCTGAAACAGGCCGCCCCACTGGGGTCAGCCCACCGCCCTGCTCCTCCTGGAGGGCGGGCTGTGGTCCCTCTGGCTTTACGTGAACTTGGAGCACGTCCACCCTTGACCCCCTCCGCCTTTTCTCTGGCCCCTCCTGCCCGGCCTCCTTGCTGACTCTCCAACCTGAGGGCCTGGCACTGGCTGCCCCCCCTGCCTGGAGTGTCCCCCAACCTTTACACACTGCTCCCCCCCTCCTGCAGGTCAGAGAGCTTCCGACCTCCAGCCAGCGCCCTCGCCCTCGCCCGACCCCCTCTCGTCGTTTTTCTCTGGAGTGGCATCACCTTTGTGACATACCACGGACTTATCACATCTGTCCCCGCTGCCCAAGCCGACGCTGCTGCTGCTGAATCCTCGGCCCCCAGCACGGGGCACACGCGGCCCCTCCCCGGTTGCCAGCAAACGAGTGACTGAGTGGGGGTGTCGGGGCACAGCCCTCACCGTGCCACCTCGGGGCTCACCTCGGCAGCCGCCACCTCATAGCCGTCGGGGTTCATGGAGGGCAGCAGGTGGATGCGGGTGGTGTTGAGCAGGCGCTGGATGCGGGGGCTGCCCAGCAGGTACTCGGAGCACAGGTACTGGGCCAGGTAAATGAGCATCTCCCGTCCCGCCACCTCGTTGCCGTGGATGTTGCCGATGAGCTTCACCTCGGGCTCCACTGGGGGAGACAGGGTGGCCTGGGGGTGGTCTCGGAGCCCCCGGCTCCCCTCAGCCTAAGGCCCCCTTGGCAGGGGTGGCCAGTTCCGGGACCCACTCGTATTTGTTTTGGCACCAGTGTCTCCGGCTAATGAGGTCTCCCTGAGACCATCACTTTTNCCGGCTAATGAGGTCTCCCTGAGGCCATCACTTTTGTTGGGGTCATTTGTTATGTTTAGACGTAATTAGCAGCAGGAGGAAGCGAGAATATTAATTAATAATACATGGTATCGCTGGTCTGTGCGAGTTTCACTGACGGCCACGCTTCAGCTTGTGTAATAAATTAAGGTAACACTGGTGCTTCGATGGGCAGGCAGACAGCCAATAAATGAGTAAATGAATGGAAAGAAGGAAGGGGGGGGAGGGATGGATGGATGGATGGATGGATGGATGGATGGATGGATGGATGAATTCTAGGGAAAAGTGAACCAGGAGCCTGGCAGCCTTGCTAGCTGGGTGACCTGAGGCAGGTCACGTCTCCTCTCTGACCCTCACATTACTCATCTGAGCAACGGTGCCTCGCTCCCTGGCTGTGTGTGGTCCACGGCCTTGCAGCTGTGGGAGCAAACCCTCTCGTTCCTCCTGAATCTGGAGGGTGTAAAGGACCCTGGGGCTTCCGCAGCAGTCAATTTCCTTGCCTTCCGGGCAGGGAGCACCCCTCGTCCACACCTTCCAAAGCTGCAGGCCTTTGAATTTGGCAGAGCCCGTCTTTAGTCTCTTCTGGGGATTGGTGAGGGACCAGCCTTCGCCACGAGCTGGGGGGGCAGGAGGCAGGGTGGCCTTGGAGGCTGAGGGGCTGCATGACCCCCGTCCATGCTGCCCAAGCGAGTAGGAGAACTGGACTGAGGGTGGCCAGCCCAGCAAAGGTGTATTTTTCCATAACTTACAAGGACCAAGGGCTGAATGGGGTCTGCTTCTAGATCCACCCCGGCCGACTCACGTGGTCATGGGGACGGACGCGCAGGGGGCAAGGCCGGGGAAGGACTGGCCCCTCACCCATCCCCGGGAGAGGCCTGGAGAGGGCCCCGTGCTCGATGCTCTTGGTGCCCTGAGGGGCGGGGGGTTCACAGTNGCCGGGGAAGGACTGGCCCCTCACCCATCCCCGGGAGAGGCCTGGAGAGGGCCCCGTGCTCGATGCTCTTGGTGCCCTGAGGAGCGGGGGGTTCACAGTCACCTGGCCACACAGGGAGCGGGCTGTCCAGCCAGGGGCAGGGTCTGGATTCAGGGCCAGACCCCAGCCCCGGCCCCAGGGCCCACTGCCTTGTCCTCGCCTGCCCCTGAAATTCAGTCCCACGGTCACTTTTCTCAGTGCCCGGGCTCCTGGCCCGAGCAGCCCTTGGCCAGTCATGACTGGAGTGAACTGTGACCGGGGTGAAGTCTGACTTTGCCGGGAAAGGACAAATATGTGGCATTTTCCACGTGACTGTCCCTCATCTCAGAACAGGACGGCTGGGGCTGGTAAGACCTCAAATGGACATGGGCTTTTCATGGAAAAGGGGCTTTTTTCACACGCTCTGTGATATAATGTTCACCACGCAGCTGAAAGGAGCCAGCACTGGGCGCTGCACACACCCGCCTGGGGCCTGGGCGCACACAGGGCCTGCAGCCTGGAGCCCTGCCCCCCCCCGACTCCTCCCTGAGGGTCCCCCGACTCCCAGCAACATCGCTAAGTGGCTCCGCGTGGCCTGTGGTGTGTGGCCGTGCAACCCCATGCACCAGGCAGAGCCCTGTCCCCTGAATACCGGGGGCTCTGATTAGAACCCTGGGCCCCGGCGTGTGCACNTCACCTTCTCGTCTGGTGTGGGAGAGAACATCTTCTCCTCGTGGGGGTGCTGGGAGAAGTCAAAGGGGTAGGACACCACCAGGTCGCCCCCGTGGAGGCTGGCCGAGAGCACGAAGGGGGCGGTCCGCATCCACTTCATGATGGCCTTCGTCTCGGGGGCCACCTGCCCAGGATGGAGGAGCTGTCTCAGGACAGGGAACCACCTCACTGACCGCCTGGCTCGGGCACCGCCGGGCTCTCGCACCTGCAGCTCCTCCTGCCTGTCAGTCTTCCTGCCTCTTCGGGATGTCACTTCCTCCAGGCAGCCTTCCTAGGCGCCTGTCCCTGAGCACTTGCCAGGCTCTAGGTGCTCTTAATACATGCTCCCCGAAAGCCACCAACGCCCAGCAAGGAGCTATGGCCAGAGGGTAAGGCACTAACCACCAGGCTCTCCTGTCCTGGGGAGGGGCCGCACCCGCAGGCCCTGGAATAACAGGCCCCCGGAAGGATGTGTGACTGGGCTGGGCGCGGGCGGGGCGGCTCCTACCTTACCCCCCCAGTAGTGCTGTGGAATGGCGATGTGGTCGGTGCGTGTGCCACGGGCGGCAACCAGGCGGTAGAACTCAGAGGTCAGGTCGGGGAAGTTTCGGTTCAGGTCCAGGTTCTGAGCGTTCTGCCTGCCGCTCGTCCACCCGTTGTAGCCGGCGCCCTGAAACAGGCCGCCCCACTGGGGTCAGCCCACCGCCCTGCTCCTCCTGGAGGGCGGGCTGTGGTCCCTCTGGCTTTACGTGAACTTGGAGCACGTCCACCCTTGACCCCCTCCGCCTTTTCTCTGGCCCCTCCTGCCCGGCCTCCTTGCTGACTCTCCAACCTGAGGGCCTGGCACTGGCTGCCCCCCCTGCCTGGAGTGTCCCCCAACCTTTACACACTGCTCCCCCCCTCCTGCAGGTCAGAGAGCTTCTGACCTCCAGCCAGCGCCCTCGCCCTCGCCCGACCCCCTCTCGTCGTTTTTCTCTGGAGTGGCATCACCTTTGTGACATACCACGGACTTATCACATCTGTCCCCGCTGCCCAAGCCGACGCTGCTGCTGCTGAATCCTCGGCCCCCAGCACGGGGCACACGCGGCCCCTCCCCGGTTGCCAGCAAACGAGTGACTGAGTGGGGGTGTCGGGGCACAGCCCTCACCGTGCCACCTCGGGGCTCACCTCGGCAGCCGCCACCTCATAGCCGTCGGGGTTCATGGAGGGCAGCAGGTGGATGCGGGTGGTGTTGAGCAGGCGCTGGATGCGGGGGCTGCCCAGCAGGTACTCGGAGCACAGGTACTGGGCCAGGTAAATGAGCATCTCCCGTCCCGCCACCTCGTTGCCGTGGATGTTGCCGATGAGCTTCACCTCGGGCTCCACTGGGGGAGACAGGGTGGCCTGGGGGTGGTCTCGGAGCCCCCGGCTCCCCTCAGCCTAAGGCCCCCTTGGCAGGGGTGGCCAGTTCCGGGACCCACTCGTATTTGTTTTGGCACCAGTGTCTCCGGCTAATGAGGTCTCCCTGAGGCCATCACTTTTGTTGGGGTCATTTGTTATGTTTAGACGTAATTAGCAGCAGGAGGAAGCGAGAATATTAATTAATAATACATGGTATCGCTGGTCTGTGCGAGTTTCACTGACGGCCACGCTTCAGCTTGTGTAATAAATTAAGGTAACACTGGTGCTTCGATGGGCAGGCAGACAGCCAATAAATGAGTAAATGAATGGAAAGAAGGAAGGGGGGGGAGGGATGGATGGATGGATGGATGGATGGATGGATGGATGGATGGATGAATTCTAGGGAAAAGTGAACCAGGAGCCTGGCAGCCTTGCTAGCTGGGTGACCTGAGGCAGGTCACGTCTCCTCTCTGACCCTCACATTACTCATCTGAGCAACGGTGCCTCGCTCCCTGGCTGTGTGTGGTCCACGGCCTTGCAGCTGTGGGAGCAAACCCTCTCGTTCCTCCTGAATCTGGAGGGTGTAAAGGACCCTGGGGCTTCCGCAGCAGTCAATTTCCTTGCCTTCCGGGCAGGGAGCACCCCTCGTCCACACCTTCCAAAGCTGCAGGCCTTTGAATTTGGCAGAGCCCGTCTTTAGTCTCTTCTGGGGATTGGTGAGGGACCAGCCTTCGCCACGAGCTGGGGGGGCAGGAGGCAGGGTGGCCTTGGAGGCTGAGGGGCTGCATGACCCCCGTCCATGCTGCCCAAGCGAGTAGGAGAACTGGACTGAGGGTGGCCAGCCCAGCAAAGGTGTATTTTTCCATAACTTACAAGGACCAAGGGCTGAATGGGGTCTGCTTCTAGATCCACCCCGGCCGACTCACGTGGTCATGGGGACGGACGCGCAGGGGGCAAGGCCGGGGAAGGACTGGCCCCTCACCCATCCCCGGGAGAGGCCTGGAGAGGGCCCCGTGCTCGATGCTCTTGGTGCCCTGAGGAGCGGGGGGTTCACAGTCACCTGGCCACACAGGGAGCGGGCTGTCCAGCCAGGGGCAGGGTCTGGATTCAGGGCCAGACCCCAGCCCCGGCCCCAGGGCCCACTGCCTTGTCCTCGCCTGCCCCTGAAATTCAGTCCCACGGTCACTTTTCTCAGTGCCCGGGCTCCTGGCCCGAGCAGCCCTTGGCCAGTCATGACTGGAGTGAACTGTGACCGGGGTGAAGTCTGACTTTGCCGGGAAAGGACAAATATGTGGCATTTTCCACGTGACTGTCCCTCATCTCAGAACAGGACGGCTGGGGCTGGTAAGACCTCAAATGGACATGGGCTTTTCATGGAAAAGGGGCTTTTTTCACACGCTCTGTGATATAATGTTCACCACGCAGCTGAAAGGAGCCAGCACTGGGCGCTGCACACACCCGCCTGGGGCCTGGGCGCACACAGGGCCTGCAGCCTGGAGCCCTGCCCCCCCCCGACTCCTCCCTGAGGGTCCCCCGACTCCCAGCAACATCGCTAAGTGGCTCCGCGTGGCCTGTGGTGTGTGGCCGTGCAACCCCATGCACCAGGCAGAGCCCTGTCCCCTGAATACCGGGGGCTCTGATTAGAACCCTGGACCCCGGCGTGTGCACCCCAAGGCCAAGCAGACCCCGGGGCCTTTCCCAGAAGCTGGGACCCCCCAGCCGCTCGCTGGGGCGCCTGCCCGTGACGGTGGCTTACTCAGCTCGTGTTGGCCGGGGCGAGCCGAGAGCTCTATGACCAGCAGCTCCTTGCCGTCGAAGCTGCGCCCGATGCTGTAGGTCCTGGCGATGTGGGAGCAGCGGGCCGCCGTCCGCCTCAGCACCCGCACCATCCTGGTGTAGGAGTGGTGGGTGAAGTCAATGAAGGTGGCCGGCAGCCCGGACGGCAGCGCCTCCTCCGCGTCCAGGCCCCCTGGGGAAGAGCGGGGGTGCCAGGGTCAGCCTCAGGCCGGCCTGCTGCCCCCCACAGCGGCTGCTGGCTG